TAGATTTCAATCTAAAGTAATCAAGTCATTGGATTATGCACAAACATTCATGCACCAAATTGCATTTAAATTTGTTGAGAGATACCGTAAAATCTGTATTAGAAGCCGCATCCCTAATAGAAGTCGCACCCATTTTTTTTGAATAATTGAGAACCAAAAATTCATCATTTCTCATATGTGTAGATGCTCTATTAGAAGCCGCATCCCTTCTGTTGCATTGTACCATTTTAATAGAAGCCGTGGTTTCTAATACAGGTTTTACAGTACTAGAAATACTTGTGGTACACCTATAAATTGCCTAATTTATGCAAATTAGGTAATTAATATGCATAGATTTCAATCTTAAAGTAATCAAGTCATTGGATTATACACAAACATCCATGTACAAAATTGCATTTAAATTTGCTGAGAGATACTTGTGGTACACCTATAAATTGCCTAATTTATGCAAATTAGGTAATTAATATGCATAGATTTCAATCTTAAAGTAATCAAGTCATTGGATTATGCACAAACATCCATGCACCAAATTGCATTTAAATTTGTTGAGAGATACTAGAGATACTTGTGGTACACCTATAAATTGCCTAATTTATGCAAATTAGGTAATTAATATGCATAGATTTCAATCTTAAAGTAATCAAGTCATTGGATTATACACAAACATCCATGTACCAAATTGCATTTAAATTTGCTGTGAGATACTGGAGATACTTGTGGTACACCTATAAATTGCCTAATTTATGCAAATTAGGTACATGTATTCCTGTATTCAATATGCACCAAAAACTAATCAGGCCTGTGCATTGTGGGACATTGTGCCCTGGGAGGGCATCTATGTACCAAGTTAAATTATTGAAACTCAACAATTGGTTCTTGAGATATCAGTAAAACAGACATACACACATAGACAGACATGGTAACCACAAAGATTTTGTATGCTTCACATGCAGGAGTTAATTAAAGAGTTAACAGTATGCAAAGCACCATGACAATACTTACTTTCTTCTCCTGGATTGATGTTGACATCCATGCTGACTAATAAGTAAATACCAGCTATGAACCGCTGACTACAACACACATACAATTTGAAAAATGAGAATGGTATAATAATATTATCAAACATGGTCGGTATTTAATTTATTAGTGATGAAGAAAACACAATGGAGTAAGCTTTTATCTAAGTTATAATGTTATATAATTAAGTGTATACATATTTACTTACGGAGTGTATGTCATAAATAATTTAACTCCAGATGTATCCATACCACCAGCTTAAAATAACAACACATTTGGTATTAAGCAATGTATGACTTAAGTATATTAAAATAGTACCTTGGAAGCTATGAACGTGTACCTGGGAATCTATGAGTGAGTGCCTGGGAATCTGAGAGGATATCTGACAATGTATGAGTAGGGGCCTTGGAAGCTATGAATGGGTACCTGGGAATCTATGAGTGAGTGCCTGGGAATCTGAGAGGATATCTGACAATGTATGAGTAGGGGCCTTGGAAGCTATGAATGGGTACCTGGGAATCTATGAGTGAGTGCCTGGGAATCTGAGAGGATACCTGACAATCTATGAATAGGGGCATTGGAATCTATGAATGGGTACCTGGGAATCTATGAGTGAGTGCCTGGGAATCTGAGAGTGGGTGCCTGGGAATCTGAGAGTGGGTGCCTGACAATGTATGAGTAGGGGCATTGGAATCTATGAATGAATGTCTGGGAATCTTTGAGTGAGTGCATGCCTGGGAATCTATGAATGAGTGCCTGGGAATCTAAGAGTGGGTACCTTGGGGTATATGAATGTGTACCTGGGAATCTATGAGCGGGTGCCTGGGATTCTAAGAGTGGGTGCCTTGAGGTATATGAATGGGTGCGTGGGGTCTATGAATGGGGCACCTGGGAATCTATGAGTGGGTGCCTTGGAATCTATTATTGGGTACCTGGGAATCTATGATGGGGTGCCTGGGTATCATGTGAGTGGGTGCTTGCTACAAGAGGGGGGCTAGCTGGGAATACATGAGGATGTATTTAGGAAGTGGAAGCTTTGAAATAGATTGGAGGTTGCATGGAAATACACAAATTTTCTGTTTTTACTTTTTTATTATCATGATTTTATTCTTTATTGTAATTTTATCTATATCTCAACAGAGATTCGATAACAATAAAGTTATTATTATTATTATTACACAAAAGGGTGTCTGGTATCACATGAGTGGGAGCCAAGGAACACTATAGCACAATTGACACAAAATAAATAGGTCAATGCACTATGTGTGTGATGACACCAGTGAATAATTCAATTTTTCAACCATTCTGGGCATTACAATCAAGTTTTATTCAAGAATTTGTTGTAACTTGAGGAGAATATTTGACAAAAAGAAATACATACCCACAAAGTCATCTACATTGTTATAATGCACTTGTAATATTAAATATTTTGAATGACCAGCACCACCAACTCGGAATCCAACACCTTCAGGTAGCTTTAGAGCAGGAGCATTTCTGGCCCAAGCATACATGATCTTGGTACCACCTCGACAGATTCGAGACTCACATTCCCTGCAAATTCAAACAAAAGATTTCAGAGAGTAATCAAATGAATCATGGCAGTTCATGGCTTTACCCCTTGCAATATAGTGTCACAAAATTCAATTAGGGTAATTCTGATTAAACTCTTTTGGTGGTTACCTGGGTAACCATAATATTTAAAATTTGAACCATAGAACTATGAATTGAATCTTAACAGTTCTTCTGAGTGAGATATGGTTTGAGATTTAAAATTAAACCAGTTCTCCAGAATGGGATAGGGTGAGATTTGAATCTTACCAGTTCTCCAGAGTGACATAGGGTTGAGATTTGAATCTTACCAGTTCTCCAGAATGGAATATGGTTGAGATTTGAATCTTACCAGTTCTCCAGAATGGAATATGGTTGAGATTTGAATCTTACCAGTTCTCCAGAATGACATAGGGTTGAAATTTGTATCTTACCAGTTCTCCAGAATGACATAGAGTTGAGATTTGAATCTTACCGATTCTCCAGAATGGGATATGGTTGAGATTTGAATCTTACTAGTTCTCCAGAATGGGATGAGTTGAGATTTGAATCTTACTAGTTTTCCAGAAAAACATAGGGTTGAAATTTGAATCTTACCAGTTCTCCAGAATGACACAGAGTTGAGACTTGAATCTTACTAGTTCTCCAGAATGGGATGGGTTGAGATTTGAATCTTACCAGTTCTCCAGAAGGGGATAGGGTTGAGATTTGAATCTTACTAGTTCTCCAGAATGGGATAGGGTTGAGATTTGAATCTTACTAGTTCTCCAGAGTGACATAGGGTTGAGATTTGAATCTTACCAGTTCTCCAGAATGACATAGAGTTGAGATTTGAATCTTACCGATTCTTCAGAATGGGATATGGTTGAGATTTGAATCTTACTAGTTCTCCAGAATGGGATGAGTTGAGATTTGAATCTTACTAGTTTTCCAGAGTGACATAGGGTTGAGATTTGAATCTTACCAGTTCTCCAGAATGACATAGAGTTGAGATTTGAATCTTACCGATTCTTCAGAATGGGATATGGTTGAGATTTGAATCTTACTAGTTCTCCAGAATGGGATGGGTTGAGATTTGAATCTTACCAGTTCTCCAGAAGGGGATAGGGTTGAGATTTGAATCTTACTAGTTCTCCAGAATGGGATAGGGTTGAGATTTGAATCTTACTAGTTCTCCAGAGTGACATAGGGTTGAGATTTGAATCTTACCAGTTCTCCAGAATGACATAGAGTTGAGATTTGAATCTTACCGATTCTTCAGAATGACATAGGGTTGAGATTTGAATCTTACTAGTTCTCCAGAATGGGATATGGTTGAGACTTGAATCTTACTAGTTCTCCAGAATGGGATAGGGTTGAGATTTGAATCTTACTAGTTCTCCAGAATGGGATAGGGTTGAGATTTGAATCTTACTAGTTCTCCAGAATGGGATAGGGTTGAGATTTGAATCTTACTAGTTCTCCAGAATGGGATAGGGTTGAGATTTGAATCTTACTAGTTCTCCAGAATGGCATAGGGTTGATTTGAATCTTACCAGTTCTTTAGAATGGGATAGGGTTGAGATTTGAATCTTACTAGTTCTCCAGAATAGGATAGGTTTGAGATTTGAATCTTACCAGTTCTTCAGAATGGGATATGGTTGAGATTTGAATCTTACCAGTTCTCCAGAATGACATAGGGTTGAGATTTGAATCTTACCAGTCATTCAGATTGGGATATGGTTGAGATTTGAATCTTACTAGTTCTCCAGAATGGGATAGGGTTGAGATTTGAATCTTACTAGTTCTCCAGAATGGGATAGGGTTGAGATTTGAATCTTACTAGTTCTCCAGAATGGGATAGGATTGAGATTTGAATCTTACTAGTTCTCCAGAATGGGATAGGGTTGAGATTTGAATCTTACTAGTTCTCCAGAATGGCATAGGGTTGATTTGAATCTTACCAGTTCTTTAGAATGGGATAGGGTTGAGATTTGAATCTTATTAGTTCTTCAGAATGGCATAGGTTGAGATTTGAATCTTACTAGTTCTCCAGAATGGGATAGGGTTGAGATTTGAATCTTACCAGTTCTTCAGAATGGCATAGGTTGAGATTTGAATCTTACTAGTTCTCCAGAATGGGATA